TATCATTGACATGCTAAAAATAAAGCTGTTGGCAATCAGAAACTTTCCAGAAAGCATTGCATGGTGGGTCAGAATCTGATGGTACTTTTTCTGTGTTTATTATTTCTCCAGTTTTAACAACACCAGTAGGTGAAACGCAGCCCTAACAATGAGAGAGGCTCTCGTACATCTCTCCGGACATCCTCCGTACATATGATTAAAATTTGAGTTAAAACATTTTTTTAATTTGGATTCATCACTCCATAACATCAACATCATGTTTCAACTAAAGGAATGGCAACAAATTATGTGCTTTCATAAAAGGCTGCTAGTAACAAAGTGCCTAAAGGTACAATTTAAAAGTTTTTTGTTAGGTTGTCTATTATGTGTAGATACAACACTTATTAGGTTTCTTTTTTTATGTTTGAATGAAGTCAGAAAGAAAACAAGACTATTTTAAAACTGCAAGAAAGTCTGACTCCCTGGACACAAAATATAAAGAAATTATGGGTGGCTGAAGACTTTTGCAGAGTACTGTGGTAAGTGTTTATTCTTTTGTGACACAGTTAGATAAAGGAATTTATTCTATTTTTTTTTTTACATCTTTACAACGTGTGTGTAATGTGACCACTAACTAATCTCAGTCTGTTCTTATTGAGAATTGTTTACTTTATGTCAGTGTCACGATGTTGCCATGTGGTGCACCATATGTGTCTTTTACTCTTTTACAGTAACTCCAGAGGCCAAAAATTTACATTAAATAACAGATTTATTGTTTCCTTGAAGCACAAACATATACACAGAATTACAATCACAATGTAGACACAATAGAGCAAACAACACCTCAACAACTGTAAACACTGTTTAGCTGCAGATTACACATTTATCATTTTCTATGCAGATATGCCTCTTAAAGGTAAGAGTGTAAATCGCCGTTCTTCTCTGAGTTTCAAGTGATGGCTACCTGATGGTGACTTGTAATCGAGAGGAAAGTAGAGTCTCCAAGTGTTTGTGAAACTGGAGTGCTCGTGTGTGTGACAGAGCATGTGTGTGTGAGTGGTAGATGAGTCTGTAGCAGTAACTGGTCTGGCTCAGATCAGGATGTGAGAACCTGTCAATGAGTTTAACTTGCTCCACGGTCCCACAACTAGCCTCTCGGACCACCGCGTGGAAATTCTTCTCCTCCCACGTAGGCCCAGTCCAGAAGCTGATGTCAAAGGTGAAAGGTTCGGGATACAGGCAAAAAGGATGAAACGGAGTCCCCGGCGATGGGTGGGATGAAAATTGTTTTAAGAAACGTGGGTCATGTGACCAAAGCAGCCTCCAGTCAGGGAGCGAGAACAGGAGCACGGCGAGTAGGTCCAAATTTAGAGACGCAGTGATGCGGACATGATTGTTGTTGTCACTTACATCGCTTGCAAACACCTTACCAACCAAACCCACTGGCTGCGCTTTCAGACGCAGACCTCCCTGCTCTGTTACTATGGAGACGCCAAAAGGAGCAAGTAGCGTTTCCAGCTTTTCTCCGAGCAATTTACCCGGCTCACTTTCTGAAGGAAAAACACCTTGGATGAGGAGCTCGTGAAAGGCAGGCATAGCCCAGAGGCCGATGGGTACATTTCTGAAAACCACACCACTAATTCCATATAACAAGCTGGTAACACCATTACAGCTCCCACAGGACTCATCCTTCTCATTTCCTTCACTGTCATCACTCCCCTCACAGTCACCATGACCATCGGCGTTAATTATCGCCTCTTTTTTAGCTAGAAGCTCTTCCATCTGAGGGAGCAATGATGGACGTAGCATGTGCATACCACTTTCCCCTTCAGGATCAATGTCAAGAGAGCATGCTGACCTGAAGCTCTCAACTCCTTTGATTCTCACCCTACCTCCTTTATTTGAGGCAAGACATGTGGGCAGCAGAGTTTCTGTGGGTCTCGGATCATTTTCTTTGTCTGCAGAGGTATCAGTGTCAGAGGTGAGGTCTTTCTGAAGCAGGTGGATCCAGTAGCATTGTGCGCCATCGATGCCACAGCAGTGTGTCTGCAGCTGTTTTGCTGTGAGGAGGAAGGGGATGGTCTCTGTCATCATGGAGACCGGCCATTTCTTCGCCAGACCTTCGAGAAGAAAATCTTGCACCAACTTGACAGGGTGGACAGAATCTGAGTAGAGAAATCTCCTGATGAAAGAAAAGAGGTTGTAATTATATTTATGTGATTTATGTGTGTGTGTTGGTGGTGCAAACACCCGGGTAGCCACTGTGTTACTGTACCTGAATATGTAATCACTGAGCTCTGCTGGTATTTCGTACTGCACTTTCTCTCCTTCAACGACCTCCTCCACCTTCAGCAAATGAGCAGGAGTGTAGGGGATGCTGCGAGTAAACATGTGGACCAAAGCTTTCTCCACATGGAAGCCTTTATCCTGGCTCCTGTTCAGCAGCGATATCATCATTAGTGCCAGGCATGCAAACATACAAGGAAAACAAACAAAGAGATACAGCTGGGTTGCTTCTATACATAGACTCACCTTTACTCCTTACCTGTATCCAGTGCACTTGTAGCTCTGGTGCTTATCACTTTCAAAAGGGTGGATGGCACTCAGAATTAGATCTGCCTCCGCTGCCATGGCAACCGCCTGCCAGCTGTTGTGCCACTCTCGCTTCGGCTGGTCCGCTGGTGTTCCTCCTTGTCCGTTGCACAAGGAGACGTGAACCTCCCCACTTTCAGCCAACACTTGAACACAACTGGAAGAACAACAAATTCACATTTTAAAATGTCAATACATGTATGACACATACATAAAGGATTATTTTCTAATAACCAAAGAAGCAAATATTATTATTCAGTTACCCTGCAATAACACAGCTCAATTTCTCACGATAGCAGGTTTGTTATTTAGTGATCGCAAGAAAAAAAAGTTTATTTCCTCTTTATTTATTAGAGATCAAAAGAAACAATTAAGCAAGGAAAAACTTTAATAAAGTGCTAGACACCAAGCGAACTCACAGGTGGGCATGCTTCAGGGCTGCTAGTGAGACTCAGTGAGAACCAGATAAGAAAACCGGATAGCAGATAATCAGATTTTGATACTGGCATTGAGGGAAAAGCAGTTTTCTCAATAAATCTGCCTTTTTTTCCAAGGTAGCAAAATAAATTAACCTGTCACCACAGGCTTTATTATTTTGTGTTTTCTGCAGAATTATACTAAATAAATAAAAAGAATTTCAAGCACGACCATTCACTATCCGATATAAACAGTTCCAATTTTTAATTTAAAAACATGTTGCAGTAGGCACAATAAACAAGGTTAAATGATGATATCATTTTGAGATCACAGTGCCAAGCCAGAAAAAAAAAATAATGAAGTGCGAGACTCCCAGTCTCCTGACAGGCGGGTGCACCTCCTGCTGAGACTGCCACAGAAATCAGAAAACCAGAACGAAAAACTGACCTTTTGATAGTGACAGTGGGGGTAAAAGGCTATTTTCACAACAAATCTGCCCTTTCCCCATGGTAACAAGGCCTTACCACAGAGAAACAAGCTTTATTATTTCAGGTGGTTCTCTCCGTTCATTGTGCCATTAAAACTGTTTACATATTTATTTAAATCAGTAACTATTCGATCAAATAACAGCTAGAAGGGTCTGAGCATCCTGTAGAAGCTTTCATAACCTGGTCATTAGTTGCCTAAAACACCTTAAGTAGACACAAGAAGCAAGATTAAGTGATGATATCAATTATATTGAGGCAATAAATTGCAATTATTCCAGTTCATGTCACATAAAAAGGGATATAAACTGTTATAAAAACAAAGTGAAAAACACATACAAACTTTTAAGCCCCAATAATGATGAGCTTGAGGCATCAAAAGCCTCTTTTAGGCTTCTTGCATAGATAGAAATGAATGCAAGTGATGCATGTGATGATGTTGTGATCATGGCATGATGCAGTCCTACCTGAGGAAGAAGTTTCTGAGAAGTTCTCTGTTCTTTTTAACCCCACTCTTTCGCCCACAGTGAGGGAAGTTGAACACCACACGGTCAAACAGATGGCCCTGCAGAGAGGCGCATTCCCCCAGCTTTGTGCAATCCACCTCAAACAGCACAGTCCCTCCTGAAAGAACAAACAGTGTTAAAGATAGCATGCAAAGAAAGAAAGAAAGAAAGATAGTATGCAAGAAAGAAAGAAAGAAAGAAAGAAAGAAAGAAGGGGGGGCACAACTCCATAAAACTCAAAATAGCAGCAGTTATTACAGCTGGTAAAAAGCCGTACCAGAGTCCTTGATGGTCTGGATGTTATCAGCTGCGCCTTCGTGCCGCAGTGCCTCCTCCTGATGCTGCAGGCAAGTGGCCGTTACGGTGGTCTCTGATTCGGAGTACAACTGACAGGCAGAGGCCGAAAAGGAGAAGTTCCCTTCTCCCACCATTAATACTGCCCGCGAAGGAGACATATCCAGGGTAAAGCGCAAACAAAGCTGCTTCCCAAAAACTCAGCTCTGTGAAAACTTGTCCCCAAAATCTGTCCCTGAAAGGGATGAGCCGCGTGTGCGGGTGACAGCGGCCACCTTCAGTCTTCTTCACGGGTCAATATTGTGGTTTTGGAACCATGTTTAAGCTTTTTGTTTGTTTTTGTTGCCTGAGACAGGCGCGAGCGAGACGCTGTTAGTACCGCTGCTGTTGGAGAATAAAAGCTGATGACCTTCTCCAACTCGAGCTCCGCAGTACGTGAAAGCCGAGCTCACCTGTAGCAGCTTGCGTTAGAAGCGGCGTCGCAGATAAAATAGTCCGACTAGAAACAAAAGGCTCCCCTCCCGGGGCCTCAAAACATCAAATCAATACAATAATAATAATTGGCTGAACGGGAGCCAATAGTCAATAGCTGCAATTTTAATAACGCGGCCACAGAAGTGCCAGTTTTATACAGTAAGGTGTAAAAGTGTGCAGTTTTCAAATGTGCAGGGTTCCCGCCGTGGTTTCAGAGGGACGCATTTGTGGGGTGGCACACGAGGCAGCTATTTGCAGCATCAGTGAAGCTCAGCATCAGTTGGCTTTGCATCTCAAGTTGGTATTTGTAAAGAAATTAAGGGAAAATCCGCCTGACAGTTTTCCTGATGTGCGGTTCTCATTTCCGCTCGGGATTTTAAGGTCTTTCGATCAAATCGGAAGTAGGTAGTAGAACAGTTAGCACACATACATGTCTGTTTTTACCGATGCTAAGGTCATACTAGCCGACGGATCTGCGGCACCTGCTCATATAAACCTCAGAACAGCATGCATGACGTGCAGAGCCATGCAGACCTGGTTTTAAAATCCTTGGAAACCAGTATGATGAGACATAACAATACAAAGCTCTCATACATTTAAAATGTAGGTTTGTGCTGTTAATGTTGATGCAATTTGTAATTCTGATATTGAGGTTTTCTAAAAAAAAACAAAAAACCCCAAAGCTGACTAAATAAAAATAATAAACATCATTTTTTTCCCCATCAATGCACTTAAGAAGAGGTTAGTCCTCTTCCCCTGTTGTATCCTTGCACAACAGAGTTTTTCTTTTTTAGCAGGTATGAGAAATAAATCTTGTCTTTGTGTCTTGTAGGGAGTGTTGCACCCACATGGGCAGCGTTCTGGCTTTGTCTTCCAGTCCGGGCCATCAGAACTGGCCTTTCTCCACAGACCCACCTCCTTCCCGCTGGGACGCACACCCTGCTCACTGGGACAGTCCACCGCGCTGGGAGAGGAGGGATGGCCGCCTTCCCAACCCAGGCAGCTTTCACTCGTTGCACAGGAGCTGCAAAGGTATCACTGGTTAACATAGGAGAAGTGAGGAGTGCTCACCATGCTTAAAGTGAGGCAAAAAAGACGCTTCTTTCATTAGAGTTGCAACTGTTTTCCTGTAAGGTCAAATGTCAATTTCAATTTTACTTCTATTGCACTTCTAAAGCAGCAAGGTTAACCCAAGTTATTTTAAAGTTATTTAAAAAAAACAAGATAAACCATGGATAAAACTCCATGTTTCCTTGTATAATGTGTGGTTCTAGCTACTCATAATCCTTTGAGGCTAAATAAAGCAGTCCTTATGTTTCTAAATTCTGTTACTAGCCGTGAACAGCTACAGAAATACAAATTCTATTATCTAAATGTTTCTTGACATGATTGGTTTTTTCCTCTTCAGATGTGTTTCCTCAACAGATTGAGGGTGTTAAGATGATACTGAATAAAACCCTGAGCAGCTTCTTCAAGGTGATTTTTTTCCCATTCACTTTAATTTAGATGCAAACAGTTTGTAGCATTTAAAGGTGATAATTATTAACCAAGGAATGTTTTCAGGTCAGCCATACGCTCCACCTCAGCGCTGTAAGTCCGTCGTATTATCGATTTCACGTGGAGCACCTGCAAAGTGACGACTATAGCAAAGACAAGGTCAGGCGTGAGTCATCACAAAGCTATCTTCATAATAAAAAAATTTAATGGTAACTGCGAGGGAGCTGCTGCCTTTTTGTGTTCACAACTCGCATTCTGTTCCTTTGTCAAATCTCAGGATGCTCCAGCGTTGATCGGGGAGATGGACTCCTCAGGTAGTCTGAACGCCCACGCTCTGCTGCATCTCACTGAGCGCGTGCGAGCCAGAACAGTGTTTCAGGTGTGATCATAACATCTGACGTCTGTAAACATGGCATTCATTCATTCATTCAGTTCCCTCCTACAGCTATTACAAATCTTGACACCTTTGACATCTTTCTTCAGAATATTTGTCTTTACTTTCTCTGTTTGTAATGTATAATGCTCCATGAAAGGATACCTGTTCTGTTTTCTGTTATAAACTTTATCGTTAGAGTAACATTTTTTGAACTGCTCAATGTGTTTTAGACCCAGCAGTCCCAGTTTGTAACGTGGCAATTTGAAACTGAGTACAGAGGGAACGATTTTACTGCTGCTGTGACGGTGGCCAACCCAGACATCCTCAGAGAGTCAGGTGAGAAATGGCAGGTGGAAAAATGAGCAGAGGATTAACCATCAGGGTCTGATCTATGGAAAGTTGGAGTCAGTGCTCTACACTGGAGTGATAGTTCCCCTCTTTCTAATGTGGACCTGGCAGAGGGTGTGTTTCAGCTTCAGGGGGATCATAGCCCTCACCCTACCTGCAAAGGTCTTTGCCAGGGTCCCAGAGAGCTAATTTATACACAAAGAATCAGTCAGAGCCTTTCTATAATTACCCGCACTAATTAATGTTTGAAAAATGAGAACACCTGTTGAGGGAGGGCAGTTTAGATGCTTGGAAGGAGGTTGAAGAAGAAGGAATATGCCTTCTACAAGGGTGAACTGGTCTGTTAGGAAACTGCTGTGAGCTGTATGAGGTCCTGAGGACTGAGACTCAGGTGGAACGCAGGATTTATCCATAGGAAAGCTGCATCATTACAAACTATTCCACCTTACAAGCATCAGATCTGTGTGGAACAGCTGACCTGTACGATGTGTAGAAGAAACAACAAACTAATCTCAATCTTTTTTTAATAAAGATATTGTTGCTGTGCTCTTTTTTCTTACTTTTTCTGCAGAGTATAGCAGCTTATTAAAGTCAATATTACACATGATTTTCACATCAATAGCTGAATTTGGATGGACATTTTCAGTATATACTGTAGGACTCATAGATAGTTAGAGAGACGTTTTTAGAAAAGAAGAAACTACATAACTACAACTTTCACAAATCCTACACCAAATAACAATTTTTTTTACCCTGTAGCCATAAAAGACTGACAGGCCATTGTCGGCATAACTTTATAAGAGCAAACCTTAGTAAATCACATTTGTTTGATTTGTTTAAATATTTTCCCAGCATGTGTTGTAACCTCTATAATACATTTGCCAAAAGATCAGCGACCAAGTTACCTGCTGTGTCCCCACCTTTCAGCTACAAAACCGACACTGTGGCTACTCTCATTAAATCCTGACAGTAGTTTCTTAACCCTAAAAGAGGACTTTGTTGTAATGCAGTGTTAGGAAATCTGGTCCATGGACACAGTTATTTGTGCCCTTACTTTCATTAAATATGTATTTAGATTTCCTTCCAGAGCCTGCTGGGAGTCACAATACAACATCCATGCTGCCATTAGAGATACTTTTTAAAGTGAGCCGATGGATTTGCAGTGTTCAACATTTTTCGTCAAAATATGCAAAATGGTCCGCAATGAACGCGAGTGCATTCATACAGCTCTGCAGTGCCAGAGATCACTTTCATGTAGTGTGTTTTTCTTCTTCTCTCAGATGTAATATTGTCTGACAAAATGCTACCGTTAATATGTCTTGATGCATGCTCAATCATCCAGGTAAGGAAACCCCAAAAAGTTGATTCGGTTAATCTGGATGTTCTAGTTGAAAATGGCTACCAATAATAGGACTCAAAGATCAGCAGTGTCTTAGATTAATGTCTGAATTTTTCAGTATATAATACTGACTTTAATAATATTGTAGCATTACATGGTGTACAAGAAAAAATAAATAAACAATGGCAGTTGACATTGTTATATTCTAACTTCAATACATAGACGGGTCAGCTGTAACACAGATTTCAAGTTTACACGGTGGAATATTTGAATCCTGCACTCCGCCTGAGCTGTCAGATACGTTTGTAACTCTGACGGTAACTCTGTGAATAGCAGAAGAATTCAAATTCACCAGAGAATAAATAAGGGAGAGACATGGCATCAAAGTTAGATAGAGCACAGTCCCACAGGTTAAGAATGAAAAAGAGAAAATACATCCCAGGAGGCGAGAGCTAAAGGAACTGATGGACATGGTCAGACAGATGACTTATGTTCCTAAATTCAGCCTGACATTTTATCACTTTTGCTCAGTTATACTTTATTAATGTAAACTTGCTGCACTTGCTGTGTGCATGCACATAGATGTGTGCATGACCAGTCTGCTCCATTACTTAAGCAAAAAACACTCCACCTCTGGTCACAGGCTGCCCCAGTTCTTGTACATCTGTAGTGAGAGCTTACTCTGGATTATTGGCAATATGCGAGAATTTCTATGAGCAGCCATGGGGTGGAAGTTTGAGGGTTGGCAGGTCTCAGAGGTTTATCTCTGCTTTGCAGATCATGTCATTGATTTCAGGCGGTGGCCTCCAGCTTGCCCCTTGGGCAGTTTGCAGCTGAGTGTGAAGCGGTTGGATGAGAATTAGCTCCTATATGTCTGAGGCCATGGTTCTCAGCCAGAAAACAGAGGTGTGCCCACTTTGAGTTGGGAATGAGTCGTTGCCTCAAGTGGAGGGTTTTAAGTATCTCGGCATCCCCTTCACGAGTGAGAGGAGAGAGGAGTGACAAATTGATAAACAACTTGCCGTGGAGGGTGCAGTGATGTGAACGCTACACCAGTGTGTTGTGGAAAAGAGAGACATGAGCATGAAAGTGAAGCTGTCATAGGTGACTAAAGGAAGAGTGGAGCAGTGGAAGTGCTTCCTCCAAACAGCTTCTCGATTCACCCTGAGAAGCTTAGTCATTCAGGAGGGTAGTTACTCTTCCACATTAAAAAGAGCCAGTTAGGGTGGTTCAGGCATCTGAAAGGATGCCTCCAGGGCACCTCCTAGGTGAGGTGTTGCAGACGTGTCCTATTGGGACATGTCCCAGCTTGCTTGGGATCACTTAGTGTATCCACATAAGAGGTGGGGGAGGTGGTGTGGAGAAGCAGGTCTGGGCATCTCTATGTAGAAAGCTGCACAAGCTGACCATATCTTGGTCTCTTGTGTTCTGGGGGCCTCTGGATGTCTGGAGTTTTGATCTCTTCCATACCTGCTTCATGCCCTGGAGGACGGGGCAGTGGCCCCCCCACACCCTCTAGCAGATCATTACATGAAGGAACCTTTTAAAAACAAACGCGCTCATACTCACAGGTGTACACACAAGTGATCACACACACAAACTACACCTTTTTTGGCTCCTACCTCTAAGCACACTGTGCTCTGTCAATCGTACGTGCTGCACAATAATGTTTAATATTTAGTATTTACTGTCATATTCCCATATATCATTGTGATGTTGTTTATTCTATTACTCTCGTTTTCTTCTGCTTGTTTTCTTCTTTCTTTCTCAGCAGGTGATCCAGGTGATCGATATATGTGGGGTTTTTTTCTGTTTATTCTGTTGGTTTTTGTTTTTTGCCCTTTTTCCCCGTCCCTCTTCTCAGCTGTTTTTCTTTCCCTCCTTCTTTCCCCCAATCAAGTCTGTCCCGTATTCAGCAAGTGAAAATAAAATAAAATAAACAATAAAAGGTGAATCAAATAGACCATTACGGCAAGGCTGGGATGGTCCATTTTGTAAAGTAAATCCGTTGGGCATCTTTCTTCGCCTTTAGACAATAATTCTGATGGCAAAAGAGCCAAACGGGACAGGCAACAAAACAAAAAAAAGAAAAAAGAAAGGAAAGCTGCACATGGACCTGAAAGAGTGGCAGGAAATAGATGGATGGGTGGATGTTGGCTTTTCTTTGTTATCCCACAACATGAGAAGAAAATAATTTAACACTTTTTCTGGTATTTTTCACTGATGTGCCCCTTGATGATTTTTCTGTTATCTTGCTGTGTGTTTTTCCTGGACAGTTATCCTGGTGGCGCATTTCCTGCAGAGCGTGTCTTCTGGGCTGGTGTTAGGAGGAGAGCTGGTCTACCATCGGGGACGAGCAGAAGAAGGAGGCATCCTTACTCTGGCTGGACAGTACTCAAGTGAGATGTTGTTTTTACTCATGAATCTGCCTCGCATATCATATTTTAACAGAGCTGGTATCATCTCTCCTTTGTTGAGCTTTGATTTAGCCACAGTGGGGGTGGTGCGTGGGTGTTCTGTCTCTTCATGCAGGACCAAACTGGGTGGCAACATTGAATGCTGGCAAAGGAGGTGCCCATGCAAGCTACTATCACAGAGCCAACAAACAGGTACAGCCAGTGCCACCCATAAGCGTAAACACCATTTACCTTAGTGGCATATCATTAATGTATGTTTGTGCTTTGCAGATACAAGTAGGGGTGGAGTTTGAAGCCAGTACCAGGACACAGGAGACCACAACATCCTTTGGGTATCAGATGGAGCTCCCAGAGGCTAATATGGTCTTTCGAGGTAAATTTCCTGATGTAACTTTGAGTCATGCGCGATGTTAACTATTATGAAAGCACAATGCATGAGTCTTTTGTTTCTGTGTGTGTATCCAGGTATGATAAACAGCCGGTGCATAATAGGAGGTGTGTTGGAGAAGCGCCTGACTCCTCTCCCAGCCACACTGATTATGGGTGCCTTTGTAAATCATAAAGGTGATAAACTGCAAGTGGGTCTAGGCATCAACGTGGGTTAATCATCAGCTAACCCCCGCTGGAATTACACTGGATATCCGTCCAGAGGCACGTTTCAGAGGCTTCATTAACAACGTGACCTTGCGAGACTTTTTCAGCCTCACCAAAACACTTCCTGTTTCTTTAAGTCACCTACCTCTCTAAGTGGAGGCGATGTTTGTCTGACTGAGTGACAACAAGAGGATTGCACTAAGAGGAGTGGATGAGCACCTCGAGTGCTCCAGTACAGTATGTGACTACACAAATGTTTCAGTCTCCCTAAACCCAAACTGTGCATCCACTCCTGGACACTGAACCAAAAGGATAAAAGGCATACAGTACTGTAAAGTTAAAATAAAGATTTTATATTATGGGTAGTCCTAAACAAATCTAATGGAAGTACACTGTATTAAAGAACAATAGTCTGTGAAGGTTCTCAGTCATCCAGGTCATCGTAGTCAAAGGAGCTTGCAAAGAAAAGCGTCTGGACTTCTTTAAGTTGCTTGAACAATAGTCTTTTTAATAGTCTTTTTAATGTTTTTGTTCATCAGCTATAATTTTAATAGACTATATACACAAGATGCTTACAAAAGATGTTTGCCCATCTAACAGGCAGTGATTGGTTTACATCAGCGCCAGTATCAATTAAAAACAAAGCTCATCAACTCACCTGCCAAAAAATTAAATTTTAGCTTGAATGTACAATCATTTGGTGCTCTCTAACCACGACACAAACAGAGAAAGCATTAAACTGAAAAAGTTCAGCGCTTACTCATAAAAAGACAGTCTGTGTGGGCTAATCTGCACACAAGCAAATGCTTAGAGGAGCATTCCAAATGGCAGCAAATGCTGAATCTGAGTATGAGTAAATGGGTCGGCTCACGTTAAAACGTCAGTAAGAACCTTAAAAAATATGCATGAGTAGGTGAATGTTTGTTTGATTGGGTACAGATCTTTTTTTTGTGTGTGCCGGCATATTATATAGTGTGCAATCCACACAGAGAAAGGTGCTGCTTCATACTGTATATAGTAATTTAAGGTTCTGAGGGTTGAGAAAGAGGCTATGCACCAAGTCTGCTGATTGAGGACTGCGCTGTATGTATACTGTATAGATGAAGGCATTTGGTAACACTGACTGTATGCAACCTGCACTACTCGTACTGCGTTCGAGCATTTACGGTCCTCTTCAACTGGGAAATGTTGCATATATATGATTTATTCATTATATAAAGTCAGCACGGAGAGAAATGGAAGGGATGGCTATCTTTTTGAACTTAATTTATTAAAGATGTTATTTCTGTCATTGTTTCTTTTGACTGTATGTCATGCATTTCAACAGACAGTTACCTACCTACAGTAAGTCTGAACCTAAACTCAGCACCAAGGTACCTTTTTACGTCCTGTTGCTTATTCATAGCTCAGCAAGACACAAACACGAAAGCCAGATAATTTTCACTTAAATCATTAGAGCTGAAGATTGCAGATTCATTAAGAATTTGCTTAAACTGAACATTTTCCACTCTCGGATCAACATGCAAATATTCCTTCCCATTAACTTCCATTAAGTTGTGATGATTTTCCCTGATATACTGTTTTAGTGGTGGATGTCCCTTTTAAACAAGGCCAAAGTTTTAAATACCGAAATCTGCACAAAGATAGATGGAAGCCCAGACCTCAGACTGCAATAAGACGCTACATTTTGGGAAAAAAAATTTCTGTGTTTGATTTTGGATGATGGCTATGAGAGTGAATACCTTTTAATATGCTTATGGAAGGCACACAGCTCATGCTGACAGCACAGAAATCCCACTTTCTGTTTGTCAGGGGCAGCTAGTCATAAGAAAAGTGGGTTCAAAGGAGAGGGTGTGTTGTGAGATTGCACTGAGGTCTAATGTGTGTGAGATTTAAAAAAAAAAAAGAAAGATTGTTTTTGAACTTTGAATAATGTGTAACATAGTAAAGGATAAGACCTGAAAATGATAGGTCCTTTTTAATCTCTTATTCCTTCGTATTTGCATGCTGCCTCTAAAAATCTTGTAAACTTCTGTCTTTAACCTCCTAAAATCTGAACTCTTCCACGGCATGCATTTTTAATTTCTCTTTGATCAAAAAACAAAGAATTACCAGATTTTCTTTTTATCTGATTTTTGTTTCTAAGAAAAATGAGAGCCACATATGAGCATATTCGTTTAAAACAGTAGCAGTATAATGTCCTCGTAAGTGGATATCAGGCTCTTGTAGAGCAAACTTGAGTACTTTGGTCTAAATAACTCAAAATGTAATGTCCACATATGTGGACGCCAGGTTTTAGGAGGTTAAAAAACTAGAAGTGACTTAAATAATGCAAGAAAAGATGATAACATATCCAACACTCAGTTGAGACTTTTTTTTAATATAAAGTATGAAATTAATAATACACTGTATATACATATATACAAATATAGGTATGTAAACAAGTCACTTGTTGCTAATATGGCATTAGTGTCCATTATCTGGCCACAAAAGACAGAGTGGCAAAGAAAATTGCGGATAGTGTCCATTTAAACCTGGGAGTCTTCTTGCTGTTATATATCTTTGAAAAAAGAGAGGAATCCTTTCGATCCTTCTCCCTTCATTCTCAAAGACCTGCTTCTTTGGAGTCCTGTAGCACCTTTTTCTTGCTGGCTCTCTTTCTTCCTCTCCTCCTCCCTTTGCTGAACCTGTTGATTTATCACCACCCGCATGTCCTCCTGGAGCAAGAGCAAAGGTTCAGATTACAAAAGTATAATAATTTTTTAAAGTACATTTTTCCAAAAGAGACTATCTGTAGTTTTGTATCCAGGTACACAAACCTGCCAGGCCTCCAGCTCTTGAGACAGCGCCACCTTCTGCTTGATGGTGTTGAGAAGCTGCTGAGTTAGTGATTCTTTCTCTTGACGCACCATGACCAGTTCACTTTCTAAGGACCTAAATGGAAATTTTAAAAACAGATTCATCTTAATAAAATCTAAATAAAATTGAGAGAAACTAAACTAATCAGCATAGCTTTACCTGTAGCTTGGCTTTCCTGAACTGCGGCCACACAGCTGAATTTCCTCCCTCAGAGACTCGAGTTCTTCTCTCTGACCTTCAAGCTGATGTGTAAATACATCACTCACATTGATCAGAACATTGCATATTAGAGCATGATTGGCCTCCAAAATAAATGTGATATTATAAAGTCGTGCACAGATAAAAGCTGAGCAGAGAAAAATAGGCTACATAATGTCACACAGTTAGCCTCAAATCGTCACATCACACACGTCTTCACAATTTAATCAACACATGTTGATTAAATTAATCCAAACTTAAACATACTGATTCTATAGCACATTATTAAAAAATGTAATTCCGTGACTTCAGTTGGTGCTTCCTATATTGTCTGTTTTTGCTAGACAAATCAGCAAATATGTCTTTTTCTATTCCTGCAGCAGTAAGGACAGTATATACAGCATACAGTTTCACTGACCTGTTCTTTGAGTGCCTGTATTTCTTCATCTCTCGCTTGCAGCACTGTGGAGTGAGCTAGAAGAGCCTCTTTAGCCTGTAACAGGAGAGATATACACCGCATCACAAAAAGTCAGAGGGGTCCAACACTTAACTAGGCATTTGTGCTGTTAATGCAAATTTGTCCTGCAAATATGTTGCTTTTTTTGGCAGACTTGTGCACTATATGGGCGAGATTAATGTATAAGCAAGGTAAATTTGAAAAAGTGAGATTTTTTCAGTGTGGAAAAGGACTCTTTTTACCTGCCTAGATCACCACATTCACTTATGCTGAATACATAAGCTGATCTGTACCAATTTATGTCAGTGTTTTCTCAAAAACGCTTGGACGCTCACAACAGATGGCTGAAAAAGTAATATGCACTAAGATGAAACAGCTAGGGGAACATTTTGCAACTAATTGGGTTAACTGGAAAACAGGTCAGTAACAGACTGGGTTTAAAAGAGAATGTTTTAGAGAGACAAAGTTTCTCAGGAGCAAACAAAGGCAGCGGTCACTAATCTTAAAAATACTGTGCCTACAAATTCATAATAATGTTTGTCAGTGTAAAAAAGTGAAGACATCATCAGCTACAGAACAATAAAAAGGTTCAGTGAATCTGGAGAAATCTCTGTGCTCAAGAGACAAAAATCAATATCGGATGGATCATGTAAACATACACGAGTACAAGGATTATCCAGACAAGCTTTGGTACACAGGATCGGTACACACTGACTTAGACTGTGGAGTTACTCGGTGGGTGTGTTTCTGTGGGCACCTGTGACTGCTGAATTTCACTCAGCAGAGACAAAGGTTCTGCTTGTGTCCTGTCCAGGATGCTGTCTTCATCCAGGTTTAGAGCTTTTTGCTGTAGAGAGCGATTCAAGGTGCGCAACTCAAACACCACTCCCTGCTCCTGCTCTATCTACACACCAAGCACATGCACACACACAGATCAAGAACGTGTTAGTGACCTCTGCTTGTGATGAGCAATGCTTCCTGCAACAGATATAACTGCCTCAAGTTTCATCGGTCAACACCACGGCTGATCCTAAATATGCCTCCGATTTATTGCTCACCTCTGCTTCTTTCTCTTTGAGTTTCATCTGCATTTCTGACAGTCTGTCTCTGAAGCGCTCTCGCTCCATGCGAAGTCTTTGGTTGTCTTCCCCTGAAGCTTTTAGTTGCGTCTCCATGTGTGACTGCCGCTCTTGCAAAACTCTGTTCTGTATGAGAAGGATCAAAAGGATAGACTAGCAATATAAAAGCTGTTTTAGCATTGTCAGCCCAGATGTCACCCCAAAGCCTACTTCCTGCACACCTCGAGGTTGTTAAGAGGTTTATAAAATCAGCATCCTGATTGTTGGTTTACACCTCAACTGAACATTTTAAGAATTTTCCACTATTTCTCGTTACAGTTATTTTGTAACCAGATTTTCATGCTTCATGATGACACAAATTATTGTGACTGAAGGCTTGTCAGACCTCCATGACGTTAAGAATTTTACTTATTTTTGCTGGTATTTAGTCTCAAGCCAGACTCAAATTATCCGAACATGAGATTTGATTTTAGCTTATGCTATATGAAAATTGACTCCCAAAAGATGTGGTTTGTGGACTTTTCATTGCGAACTTAAGACTTGCACTTGTACTTTCATGTGGTGCTACTGCTGCTCTTTGTGCTTTTTGGGTGTGCTGTTCATAATAAAACCAAAACTTTTGTGTATGCAATGTTTTACTTATGGGTTTACCTCTGCTTGTATGTTTTCTAACTGTGTAAAGCTGATGTTTCGGCTAAAAGATGATTCTTCCATTTCGTCTCTGATGGTACGCAGTTCAGTCCTCAAGGAATGCTCCAGTGTCACAGCCTAGATGTGTGAGAAATGGGAAGGTGAGAAAGGTGTGAATAATAAAGGTAGGACTATCTAAACCTGTTAGTCTGCATTTTCCTGTGATGCAACATACGTGCAGAGATTCACTGATCCATTAAAACAAACCTCTGCCAGCTGCTCAACCAGTCTCTGGTTATGGTTGGCTAACTGGATCATCTGCTCGCTTTCATCTTTTCGCCGGTCACGCCCTTGACTCTGATGTTTCTCCACCTCAGCCCGCAGAGTTGTTAAATCAGCAGTTAGCTCCGCCTCCCTCTGTCCAAATGCCAGTTCATTCATCTCCAGCTTCCTCTGAAGAACGTGCTTCTCCTGCTGTAAAGCCTGTATTAAACACCATATGAACCAGCTTCAATAACCAGACTTTCCTGATGACATGAATGGTGACTCCAGTCCTGGACATGGCAGTGTGACAGCAAGCCAGCGTGCTCAATAGGAAGACTCAGAAAAAAAAGGTTACATGTAATCAAAAACATTCAAAGAACATTTAACATTGTATTTCATGAAAAATACTTTTCTGTTTATTTCTCTGTGCTTGTCGATTCTGCACTGGGGGCAGATTTATTAATTAAAAAATTAAAAGCTGTAAAAACAGTATAACTAACACAAAGCCACATGAACCTGATATATGGTGAAGATCTACTTAAATGACTTCTGCTAAAGTTAAATGTACTTAACTCACATTAAGTTGGAGCGCATGCAGGTTAAGTAATGCATACTTATCAGGAATTGGAAGCACCGTGTTATGTCCCATACATTGCACTGTAGTGCAAAGTACTGAAAATTTTTGGTATCATCTGATACCAAGTAAATAAAAGGCCAGTATTGTTGATACTGATACTGATACTTTAATTCTGAACACATTTTAATGACCACTTAAATCACTGTGATTTTTACTTTGCACAATTATTTGTTGACACAATAAAACACACCTTTCAGCTTTGCATGTATTTTAAAACCTTTTTAGAGCCCTGGGATGTAAATTTGCCTGTCTCTAAAGCACTTTGGGTCAGCTTCTGTTTGAATGTGTTATAGGCTATAAATAAAACAGACACTACAGTCAACACAAAAAGGTCGAGCCATTTTTTGGGGTATATTTTCCAAAAATATGTTTAACCCAATTGAGAAGGCTACATACTGAACTTAGAGGATTGAAACAATACATTGATCTCATCACTCTAGTATCAGTCCGATACCAGTAGCGGCATTGGTATCGATACTAACGATATTTAAATTGATTGGCTCACCTCTAATGCAGTTGCAGAAACATTATTTGGAATAACAGTGGATTAAGAAATCATGACATGATGGCTGCCATGTAATCATGGATCATTATCATAGCCAGCATAAAAGATTGTTGTGGCTGTAGAACATTTGATTACATAACTGGGTAACTGGGGGACATAGCTGATGTCACATGCTTTGACCATTTTTAATGATTAGACTGCATACTAGAACTAGAATGATAGAATTAGCTTTGTACTGCCACATTTAATGTTAAATGTATTGTTATCTCTGTAGAGAAAAAACAAATGGTTGAAATACTTTATATATAGATAAAATCTATCTATATATCTATTTCTGATAGCATTTTCACACTGTGTAACTTAAGTTATTTTGTAAAGCAGTAGTCAGTAATGGTATGTCTGCAAGTCCCTTGGTGATCTATGGCAGCTTTATGAGACAAAGTTAGCATTAGCTTCCTAACAGCTAACCAGATATAATCTCCTTCAGCACAGTGAACTGATTTGCCAGCTAAAGGCATTGCATAAGTTTCAGTCTGCGGTTATACATTGTTGGAGCTCTTTCTCCTCCAGTGGGGGTGGTTATCATGGTTGCATTGTCTCCTTGCAATCTGACAAATCTGCCCACAGGTGGAATGACTGTGCACTGCAGGCCACATCCAAAAGTTTTGCCTTCATGCAGCGATTTGCTTGTAATTTTAGCTAATCTTACTTCCCATTTCATTTTGTGTAAAAATGTGTTTATCAAATATGACCTTTTGGGAGATTAAGGGACAACAGTAGCTTTAATCTTACCTCCAGCTCCCTTTCCCTCTGCTCCAGAGAGGCTGCCAGCTCCTCATTCTTCTCCAGTAAAGCCCGTCCCAGCTCAGCAGCTAGAATCAGGTCAGTCTCTATGCCTCCTCCACTGTCAGTGCTTCCAGGGGAGGATGTGGATGAGGGGAGACCAAAGGAGAGAGAGACCGAGGAGGAGGGAGAGAGAGGAAAGAACGAGTCCTCCAAGCTGGGTGAGGGAAGACTGTTTTCGCTGAACATAGCTGACAGTTGAAGGATCAGTTAAAAAGTACTATCCCAAGTCCTGCAGTTGTGATTCAGTCTCTCTTCAGTGGAAGAGAATGGATAGAGAGTCAGGACTTTCTGTTTCCTGATGGTTTAGTTTACAGGTGTTTGGGTTCCACTTTTGTTATCCAGAGTATTCCTTGTGCTTCAGTGTGTGGTCCCAGTGCTTATATCATTCACTTCTTCTTCTCTTCTGGTCTTTACCGGGACATCTTTGGGCAAGAAAAGACATTTAATAACACAGAAAACCTTGTGTGAATATCACACTAGCTGCTTTCTGGTAACATAATCCAGCATGGCCTAAAAGGAGATCTTTTGTCTGACAGGTGCTTTTGTAGCTCTGACCGAAACACCAACCTGCACTATTATCATTGTCTCCTCCCTAAATTCCAGAGGCACTGTGAACTGCTACTTCTTGTGATCGCTACAATGTGTTGAGTATTTCAAGTAGACTCTTAAGTAATACGTTTAGATCAAATTATCAATAAACAATCAGCATAGGCTTAGTCTTAAAAAAAAGCTTTTTGTTTGATAATTCAATGCTATCATGACTAATTCCCAGATTATTTTTATTCAAATTTAGACCGTATAAGCTGAATTTCAGTCACAGTGTAGCAGTGTCAGTATCTGGAGTCTCACCAGCCTCAACTATCAAGTCTGTCACTATTTGCTTCTCACCTGTTATTACCTATTGGTATCATGAATCTGTGCTGACATGCTATTTAAAGTCCTTTAAAATACAAGTAATAAACTCAGTCCTACTTTATTGCCAGTACGACAGTTGACAGAATCCGTGTTAACCTATTTTCCACCAGACTTTGAAAAATGATAAGTTAGGTCTTACCTGACAGCTCTCTGCCACCGCAGGCTAACAGGTACAGTCTTCCTGTTTGGGAGTGTTTGCGCAAGAGAAGCTCAGCTGGTTTCCTTGGTAGTGGAAACGTTCATTATGTAAATAAAGCACATGGCTCCACCTACTGAGTTCCAAAGGTGAAGCGAGGGAAAAAGCAAGAGGAACTGACAGAAAGAACAGGGAATACTGGAAAAGTGGGGTAAAATTAATAGTTGCTGATTGGATATCAGGCAGTTAAACAAGGAAGTGATTAATTCTGGGGAATTCACTGGGGAGGGGTTTGCATTGCGTGACAGATGGAAAAGTCTAGGACACAAGCAGGGGTCTGTCTACTCCCCACCCCCTTTGCCCCATCCTGTTTACCTGCTTGAAGAATTTCAAAGGAGCTCTGTGTGTGCTCATGTGACGAAGGGTTGGGGGAAGAAGAAAAAGGGGACTGCTTCTGCTGCACCTTCATTTTAAGAGTGGCCAAACAGACTTACAAGAAGACTGAAAACCAGGACCTTCCCAGCTGAGAAAAAAGGCTTTTCCATCAGTAGGTACATTGACGTAAAGACATGGCTTTTGAACTGTGGTTTGCTCTTTCCCTGTGCCTTGTGTTGGGAACCTCTGAAGCTGGAAAGCAAATGCCTAAACTCTCTGACAAGAAACTCTGTGCTGACTCCGAGTGCAGCTGTAAGTATCAACTGTTTATTTTGCTTAGGAAAAAAAGGTCAGATTCATATCACATTATAGCTCATGACATTTGTCCCTGCACAGATCCTATCTTGATAGCTCGTGCACTGCAGGACTACTACCCTGGAGACTGCAGGTTCATCCCCATCAGGCAGGGGCAGCTTGTCTATGTTTATGCAATGCTAAAAGACAGAGGGAATCTCTTCTGGGCTGGCAGTGTGAGTAAAAGTGACATATTTATGTGGCTATAAATGGCCTGGGCACGGCTCTAACCATAAAACTGTGAAAACGTCACAGGCTTGGGCTTCCATGTGCAGCAAAACATTTAAAAGTTTTGAATGTTATCAAACAAATGTTATCTGCGTCATCTTTTCCCAGGTACAAGACGCCTATTATGGACAACAGGAAGCTCGCATTGGCCACTTCCCCAGTAGCATAGTGGAGGAGACACATGCTCTCATGCCAGCCACAACTGAAGTCAAAACTACTGTAGGTGAACACACACACATGCACATGTGCATATGAATTATTTAGTGCTTTCTCCTGATTCAGTGTATCTTCTTTTTTCCAGAAATGGGACTTCTACTGTTACTGATAATACACTTCCCAAGAAACTTAACTTGATATGATGCACACTGCTGACAGTTTATTTTTATGCATCTAATAACATGAGCGCCAATAGAAGTATGCATAAACTCTGCACAGCAATGAGTGCATGTATTATTATGAAAACGTATTATTATAATTTCATGTCTCCATTGATGGTCTTGCTGTCTTTCGATGACTTAGACATCAGCAGCGGTTCTGCAGCCTTGCTTTGTTGACAGATGAACGATGTACATTGTCTGTAATGCTCCTGTTTATCTGAGGTTTTGCAGATAATAATAAAAGTTGTCCATCGTGTACTTACAAATGAAGGAAACACGACTTGTGCCCTCCTTTTCTCTGCTAAAGCTATTCCTTTTTCGTGAGCGTTGTGTGTCTTATCAACAGGCAATGTCAGATTGTAAAAACTGTTTTAAAAGCAGCAATGAAGTAAGAAATTTCAATTTATTAGAGGGGACTTTTGCATTGTTTAATAAATAAAGCGTGCCGCAAAGCATTTATCTGGTGCTTTTTGAGGCCAGGCTAAACCTTCATTCCTGAAAGCTCCAGTTCCCCAATATTAATAAAGTGTCTGAAAAAAAATATCAGCAGCTCTACATTCACTGTACATAACCACCCACACCTTTTGCTGCATTGTTGCATTGCACAGGTTCAACTAGTTACTGAAAACATTCTTCATAGATTTTCACATGATATCATCAAACACTTGCTGCATATTGGCTGCACATTCATGATGTAAATCTCCAGTTTCACCACATCCCATTGAGATCTGGTGACTGTGGAAGCTATTTGAATACAGCAAACCTACTGTTATGTTCAGGTAACAGGTTTTAGATTATTTAAGTTTTGCCACATGGTGTGTTATTCTTCTGGAAGCATAAGATGGGTACGCTGTCATAAAGGGATGGAAATGATCATTAACAGTACTCAGAAGGCTGTGCCACAGCATCCCCCAAATTGTTACACCACCAGCCTGAACAGATACATGGGAGGATGAATCCATGCTTTCACATTATTTACGTCCAATTCTGATCCTATTATTTTAGCTACACCTTTATACAGTGTACCTAATAACAGGGGCGGAGCGTGGGGGTGGCTTACTGGGCTTAAGCCCGGGTTGTTTTGTCAGAAGCCCGGGGTATTTTGGAGTGCAATTTTTTCATAGTTAGATGCCTGGCTGACAACTGTATAAAACAAAAAGTACACACAATATTCGAAGCACATAGTGCACACTGTGGGAATTTACGACTGTGCGTGAATCCCCCCCTGATATTGGTATGATCCAAGCTCAGGCACTAAGCGACTGAGCGAGGGGGCGGGGCAGCTGCTGCCCGTCAGTGCGCTGTTGGAGAGACGGAGCCAGCCATACTAAGGAGAGCTTAAGTTTGACCAGGTACCAAAGCAAATCATTCGTACCGTACAAATAATGTAAATATGACGGTGCATCACGAAAGATTGATATCAAACTGATCACTTGACCAATATTACGTTACTTGCTCTTCAAGTGAATCAACAAATGGCGAAATGAAAAGCCGAACAAATGCTATTTTTTTTTTAGAGAGTCTTAGCTTACGTGTGTTTATTTCATATTTTCAGTTCTTACCCTCCCCGACTAAATCGGTTTCAGTTATGTACTGAAATATAAGAATGGACATTAGAGGGTTCTTTCAAAGAAAAACTCAGGTAAATGTTATTTTATATATTATGCTTTGTATGTTGTTCAGTATATTTGTATGCAAAACAAGAGGAATTTCAGTACACAGCAGGATATTCACATTTGTAACCAGATATTTACACTTTAGGGAGAAAACATAAAACATTTTTACTGCACAACATCAATTTAGAGTAAACTTTTGTTTTAGATAAATATTGAAATATCTTTTGAATTAGTTAAATGTCACAATAAAGAGAGACAGAGCTGTCTATTTTTTATCACTTTCATCAAATTTAGGAGTACATATACACTAAGTTTATTGTTAATTAATAACAAAACTCCAGACGATTCCATTCTGAGCTGAAGAAGCTTCTGATAGGTTAGTAGAGTCCATGTGAGTAAACAGGTGGCACAGCTGTGGATGCATATAAGGCAAAACACAGAGCCTGTTTCTGTGACATGGGAAAATCAAGAGATGTCAACTAAAACACCAGGAAAAGAACTGTGGAGCTCCATAAGTGTGGCTCAATTTTGAATACAATTTGGTGCCATTTGCAATTAAGAAATACAGACGATTTCTCTCTTTACTCTTAAAGTTAACAAATATGTTTTTTATATTTATCAATCTAAAAAAATAAACATTTAGTCTGATTTGATGTTACAATTAAAAAGTGTTTGTGTTTTTATCTGAAGAGTTTGTAAATATCTGTATATTTGATGATTGTCAGCACAAAGAGAGAGAGGAACAGAGAGGGAGATGGAGAATGAGGACAGAACAGAGATGAACAAGAGCAGGTGAGACACACATGTTAGTCAAATGGTTGTTTACCAAAAGTATCACCGTATCATAGGTACTCATGTATCTCATACCTAGTGTTTCTTTTTAGGTTTGTTATTTTTCAAATTCTATATTTATTAAGTTATGAAGGCTTGTTTGCACAACAAGGCTAAATAATTATATAAACCTTTCTCAATCTAAATATTGTACTTTGGTAAAATTAAAAAATAAATGTAGTGCAGGTCTATGATGATTTTTAGTGCTACTATCATCTAGTTCTGATTCTGGTTCTGTCTTGGTTAAGTCCCAAGTAGTGCTGATTTTGAACTGTTGTAGTCCTGTTTTAATTCTGGATCAGTTCTTGGTCTGGTTGAATTGGGGTTTAGTCCCTGTGTCTTGATACAGCCCTGATTTTGTTCTGCCTTGCTGCTTAATTAAAAAACTAGTTTAAGGTGTTCTGCACATGTGATATATATTTTTCCCTATATGAAGTCATTCTTTTTTGAACAAAACTCAAAACAGAGCCAATTAATCTTTCAGTCATTTCTACCCCCCCCCCCCCCCCCCCCCCCCCCCCCCCAAGGGAAAAAAAATCCCACATGCATACTATCCTTTTGGGCTAAGCCCCGGATGTTTCAAATGTCTGGCTCCGCCTCTGCCTAATAAAGTGGCAGCAGAAATCAAGACTATTAGATCAGGCAACATTTTTCCTTCTATCTTCCCTTCTTTTACTATTGTCCAATTTTGTCAAGCCCGTGTGAATTGTAATTGACAGGTGAAGGACCTAATATGGTTTTTTGCTGCTGTAATGGCCTGTATTTGTATAGCGCTTTACTTTACTAACCCCAAAGCGCGTTACACATCCAGTCATCCACCCATTCGCACACACATTCACACACTGATGATGGCAAGCTACATTGCAGCCACCCTGGGGCGCACTGACAGAGGCGAGGCTGCCGGACACTGGCGCCACCGGGCCCTCTGACCACCACCAGTAGGCAATGGGTGAAGTGTCTTGCCCTTTTCTTTGCTAGCTCCTTTGACTGTCTTGCCAAAGGACACAACGACCGAGACTGTCCGAGCTGTAGTTCATCTGCTTCTGATTCCTACTCTGAAACTTCAGCAGATCATCTGGACCATGACCATGAGTTCTTGCCATTTGATTGGCTGATCAATATTGATGTTAATGAGCTACTGAACACCTCATTAAGTGGTCAGTGAGTGTACGTTGTTATTTGAAATCCATTTGAGAACAGCAACACAATAGACAGAAGAAAACCTTGACAATGATTCAAAAACACACACAACCGACCTGTGAACTTGAATCTCCATATTTATTCTATTTGCTGTTGTCAGTGTTAATATTCCAAAAGGCTTAACAAAGCTAATAGAGTTGTAATTCTTGCATCTACAAGTATAAATGCGCTCACGTACATTCACAATCATACTACCCTTAGCAGCTCAGAGGTCATGTTCCCCAGTGAAAAAGGGGCCCTGTCTGTTTCTCTCCTTTGTCCACAACTTTGCTTCTTGCTCATTCGCTCTCATTCTCTCAACACGCCTGGTCCCGAGGCCTTTGGTGGCTTTTTCTTCTTCTTCTGTTTATTTATTTAGTTTTTTTTTTTTACTAAAAACAAACGGGCTGTCTGTGCCTCCAGAAAACAACCTCCTCACACATGCAGAAACCAATGTTCTTCCCACAGAATGAACACAGCACATTTGGCATCTTACTAATACCCGCTCACTCTGCTCTGTGTGCTGAAAATACATCTTTGGTTAGTGTGTTAGCACCTTTAGTGGATAGTACTGATTAGTATTAGTATTTCTCTGCAGAACCAGTAGATGCTGCAAGCTTCTCTGGGTTCAGTTACTAACTAGCACATTTGCCACTGAAATGAAAGGTTGCTAGAGACATTGTGTTTCTCTAAATGCCTGATGGTGGTTATGAATTTGTCTTTGGAAATACTGTTACATGTGCGACTGTATTTTGCGTAGAAGCCTAATCTGTTTGTTTATGATAGGGAAATGAACTCTTGGGAGCTCAGTATCCTGGAGCTCACCATGATGTGTCTATAAAAGCTGTACTGTCAAAAACAGACTGTTACACGAGCTCTACAGTTTTGCTGAGACAACACAATAATAGTGAGTTAGGGGTTAGGAACTGTTTTATTAGACAGCAGTTTTAGACATGTAGAACTGTATGACTACTCTATATATATGTACGGCACTGCCAACATAACAGACAATATAAAGGGTTAATAGTAAAGCAGCATCTGGTGCGTCAGGCTCTGCTCTACATTTTCTGTTTCTGTGTTCCATCTTCACAGGAAATAGGAATATTGCGCTCCGGCCCAGGAGATGACCGAGGTGCTGTGATTGTCAGTACACCATCACACGACAGACTGGAGGTGACCTCGGCACATGTCACACCAGAAGGAAGCCTGTACTTCCTCAGAAACTCTCTTGACACATAGCCGTGGTCATCCTGAAACAGAATTAGTGAGTGCATCAGAACAGTGTGGCTAAATTTATTTTCTGGTGTTAAATTTGCTCCTCTGACCTGTCTGTCTTCATGTTTGCCGTGTATTGTGATGAAATCATCACTAACGCTGACAGACAGCTCATCAGGGGAGAAATGCTTCACATCCACATAAATGACATAGCGATCCTTTTCCAAGCGCATCTAAATACATACAGTAGAGCAGTGAGTCAGCCTGGGATAAAAACCCATACAAATCTTGTTTAATGAAGGACTGGCACCTGAAAATTACACAAACACTCATGATATCAGTGGAGGTTTTGACTCTGATGATCATTAATCCAAACCTCACAAACGAAAGGCCATAAAACACTGACATTTGTGCGTAACTCCCATGATGTAATAATCTTAATTACACAGGTGAACTGTACTCTACCTCACTGTGTCCATTGTCGGGCCAGTTGAACCAACGCATAAACAAAGGGCGCATCCAGGGGAAGGACCAGGAGAATGGCCACATCATTGGCCAGTCAGTGAGAGGTTCTGCCATGGAGAGGTCAGGAAATCGATGTGGGAACGCCCGGCGGTACCAGGGATACTGGATGGGGATATCCATGGTGAGATTCCAAGAGGGTTGTAATAAATGACGAGGCAGGCTGACTAGGTCTGATTTGGTTTGAGATGGGTGCTGCTGTGCTCTCCTGCACTGAATTTATAGGTCTTTCCCTCCCATCCAAGCCAGACTTTGCCTCTGTTCACCACCTCTGCACCTCCTCCCCTCCGTGACCTCCCATGCACACTTGCATATGGACTCTGCCAACAGCCTGATCTTTCTGGAACAATGATCTCAACTGTTTATCCCTCCATCACTCCCATTGTTTTATCTGTCTGACTGAGACTGGTTCTCTCCCTCGCCGTTACCCTCTATCTGTCCCTGTTCTCTCGGTCATGAGGTGACACTGGCTAGGAATACTGCTGACATCCTCCATGCTCATTCCCCAGGAAATGCTCCTGTCTGGTGTGTGTGTGCCTGTGTGTGTGTTTTTGTGAGGGTTTGTTTGAGGAATAGCTGCCAGAGCATTAGCCTGCTGTGCTCTGAGTGCCAGGAGCTTTAGGTTTGTGTGTGGAGTGGATGTGTGACTGAATGGGAACTGATGAGTTTGTAAGGGCCAGCATTAGATGACACTGTGCGTATCATTTTGCTATGAGCTCAGATGTAAAATATGAAGTCCTTTGCGTTGGTTGTGCCAATAAATTTCTTTCATCCTCCCAGTCATGTTAGTACTGAAGGCTATATGCATTAAATTATATCTGCAAGCATAGAGGTTCATCAGAGGCTTTTAAACCATCACACCATGAATTTTAGTTTTAGTGCTTTGCAGACCAAGCCCAGGCACTGTGCCTGAGCCAAAGACCAGTCCAATCAAAGCTGGAGTTTTTATCTATCATTAATATAAATGCCCAATATAAATGTTAGGTTTATGGACAGGTCGAAATGAATTCAAGTAAGAAAGCAATAAAGACACTCCAAGGTACTAAAGCATGAGCATGGCAGGTAGCAGTAAAAGCCCTGACTGTAGTGAATTAAAGGATTTGTATTTTACTGATTATAAATGAAAGCTTTGTAAGTGTAAAACATTATATGTTTAATCAGTCTTTGTTAAACTGTTACCTTTTTAAAACTGTCCAAAAGCTCAGCAGAAATATGTGCTGAACCTTTTTCTTTTCTTGCCCTTAAGGCCTTTCAGGAAGGCTCTCCAAAACGTGGTTAACGTTGTTTATCGCAAACTATAAGTTTTCCCTAAACACGGGAAACTAGTTTTCATTCTTAAACCCAACAAAAGAATAGAAAAGAAACAAAGAAAAAGACAGGAAATACAGTATCCACAAAGTCGGCCCTATTAGCGTCGCTTGTTACCATGGTGATGTGTCTTGTCCCGGTCTCTTAGACTGGAGCAGTTTTGTTGGTGTAGTTGGAAATAACCAACATAAATGTGCTAGCCGGTCAGAATCGTTTTTGTGGACGCAGAAATGGATTTACCAGCGTCGTATTATGGGGAACTTGATCAAAGAAACCCAGTACTTTCAGCTTTTAAGCGAGAGATTAACTCGTTTATAACGCTGATGAAACAAGTGGCTTCGTCGAACAACCAGGACAACAGCACTTATGCTAAAGGGTGAGATGCTAAAAAGCCAAGTCAGCGCTAGCTTATAAAGCTCATATTGACTGATTATAGGAAACTTTAGCTTATTAAATCAGGCTTATTTAAATAAATTTTTATAGCTAGTTGCGTGCAGTTTTTATTACCGTCATTGTTCCACTAAAATGTATTTAGCTAATAATAAATGATACACTGTGTAGCTTATAATTATTATGGTGTTTATGATTTGACCATAATATATGGAAATGTTTGATAAGGTCCAGTTACTAGTCTCAAACACTTGGCTTGTACTTAAGAAAAGTCTTGAGTGCACCATTTACATTTTTTGCTTTGCTATAACTGCATGTATCTGCTGTATAAAGCAGGATTGCAGTGGCCTTTAATAATAACTTCAATATCATACTGCAAGCTATACTTTTTAGGAGACGCTGACAGTTGCTGCTAGCCAGCATCATTTTTAAAAAAAAAACCCAGAACAACCGAGTCGTCAGCGTACATCACAGCATAATTAAAGGCTTTTTCCTATCATGCATCCACTGAATGTCCTTGTTTAACTTTTTAAAAAGATCATGTAGAAAATGAAAATAACAATGTTCAGTTTGTCAGTATCCCAAAAAACAGATTTGAACATATTTTATATTACATAGATCTTGAACCAGTTAGAGATCTCTTTTGTTGTTGATGTTTGCTTATTTATGTTATTTATTTTAAAGCTATGCTTTTCTGAATTCATTTTCAAAGGATTAAAATTCTGGTGGAGATATGGAAAAAGTTCAAACATCGACTGCCTTTGAAACTGTACCAGGAGCACATGTTGCAGATTGCAGATTTTCTCTTTGGAATAAAGGTATTTGACAAATCCCCCAAATTAGAATACCTACTAATATTTGGTTACCACAGACTTTTTCTTTGATTAAATATTAATTCAGTCTGTGAATTACACAGTTTTTTCAGTCACTATTGTCAGTCTTGGTTGCTGTGAATTCTTTGTTTTACTACTTGACTCATTGGTTTTGTTCTCAGTATTTGCAATCTTGGTTTTGCTGCAGTAAAACTATAAGAAGCCTTTGGATATGTTGTCTTCTGCGCATTAATTACATGTTAACACATTCACAGTGTTATTTTTCTTCCCTCTGCTTCTTCAAGCTGTACCAGCTGGCTCTAAGGCAGGGCTACAGTCTCCACCTGTCACAGTTCAGCTCAGTGAAAATAACTGACATCACAAATGTGGATCAGTTTATGGCCTGCTTCTTCCCCGAAGGGCTTGATACAGACCAAAATACCTTTGCCATGAAGGTAAGGTACACATCACTGTGTGACTGTGTGTGTCCTGTGTATCTCTGTTTAAAATGCTGTGTAATAACTGTTTCCAGGATTTGCTTTGTTGTTTTATGCTACAAAGAAAGTTTACTACATTGGCTGAGGTCATTGACATTTTGAGACATTTTTGTTAAAAATCTGCTATTATTCTGTATGTATCCATGTGTCTGTGCCTGTGTGTCTGTCCTCTATATGTGTGTGTTTGTGTCTGTGTGTGTACAGGTACGTGCCATGCAGGGCTGTGCCCTGTGTATATTTGAGCTGGAGAGACAGCACAGTTTCCTCAGCCAAAAGGGGCTCTGTAAACTGCTGCGTGTGCTGAACTTCATGAGGACCATGATGCAGGCATTTCAGCAACACGAGCACCTCTACTGGCAGATATATAATGGTATATTAGAAGAACTTGTATAATTCAGTGTGATATTTCTATCTAGGAGTAATCTTGGTAGAACAAATTGAGCTCTCAAAATTTGAAGATAAAAATGAAAATGAACTGTTCATAAACTGTTTATCTACTATTGTATTAAGTAGTAATGTATTTCTATCTCTTGTCATCCAGGTTCATTACACATTTACAATGTCTGCCGTTATTTGATGACTATGCAGTGCAGCGCGCAGGTACTGTTCACTCCTGCCACTTTTCACTTCTGCTACTCATTCCTAAAGCAGGGATGTCAAACATAAGGCTCACAGGCCAAAATCAGCCTGTCAAGGTCTCCGATCTGGCCCACTGGGTTACTTTAAAAAATGTGAAGAAAGGGATACATTTGGGGTTTTTAACTGTGATTTGTAAGTTTTACAACTTTTCCTAATGATAAAGACCTCATCTATTGCCATTCATACTACCGTACATCAAAGTAAGCAGTAGATAAGCAAACAAGTTCCAAGTTTTTTTTACTCAGTCAAAGTGGGCTGTATCTGGCCCACGATGTGAAATGAGTTTGACACCCCTGCCCTAAAGGAAAATAAAAACATGAAGGATGGTGAGAAAATCATGTGTGACAGAGACTGAATGTCTAACTGAATGTTGGAATATGGCTTTGGACTGATCGTGAGTGACAATATTTCAGTTTTAGTTGATTGAGCCTCTGCACATTGCAGAACACACAACTAAATCTGTGTAATATTGTTATATAATGAATGTAGTGTATAATAAAATTGTGTAGTTGTCTTTTTAATACTTTGTGATACTCACAGCCGCCGTTTGTCATCCTATTCAGGCACTGGAGTACCTCCTGTGGGCAAGCATCAGTTTGGAGTTGTCCATCCCTCTGATGACAGCTAAGTATCTGCCAGTGATCGTCACACTCTACTGTGCCGTCTGCCAGTGTTACTATGACAACCATGCTGAGGTGCAGGCGGAGGTGAAATACGTCAGCGTCAGACACCTACAAATACACGATTTGATCCATCACAGGCTGATCTAATCAGTAATAAATGCTCATTGTAACTTGGTGTTGATCTTTATGTAATTTCCTTAGCCTGCCTGCTGTTAATCAGCACAAGGCACTAAATTATTCCTCACACTTGACTGTACAAAAAGAAAGTCTTGCTGGTATGGTTAACCCATGAGTATATTTGCTAACTACATTTGTTTGTATAGTTTATTTTGAAATGCAACCATCATATTGTTGCAATAAAAGTTAATTGGATTTGTGTGTCCTCAAATGCTCTCAGGAATTTGCCCGGAGAGCCCTTGGAAAAATCAATGAATTAGCAAAACTCGGGGAGCACAGTGAAGTTCCTGCCACCAGAGAGACTCAGAGAGCTTACAAAGATGCCTCCATCAAGGCAAGAAACTTGTCCTTGAGATACATCAGCACACTATGTTGTTGTGATAAAATGCTGTTGTTTCTCAGTGTGTTAGATACAGCAATTTCCATACTTACATGCTCACAACTGAATATAGTCACTTCTGAAGAAGCTTACTTACCTTGTCAGTGTTTTACAGTATTGATGTGCTCTTCTTTGGTTAACATATGAAAGGTGATTGAGAGCGTTCTGTTTTTCAGCTTGGTGCCATGATTTTCAAGCGAGCAGCATTTGAGACCCGAAAGAGACCCAAAACCCTGTACAAGACCAAAATCAAAAGCACCCTGAAGGACATACCTAATGTAATGGGATCTGCTTTACTGCCATATCATCATATTTAATGTTAATTCTTACTTTTAAATGCAGTATAATTTAGGGGCTCTTGTTAGTTGTTTAACGCTGTATACTGTGTTATCACCTTTAAATCTTCTATCACTATGCATTGCCTTTGTTGGATTTCTTTAATAATAATAATAATAATTAAATAACCCCGTGCCATATAGTTTAATTGTTTGAACCCTAGATTTCTGTTTTAGTTCTGTTTGTTTTTTACAACCTGTTTGCTTCTAAGGAAATCTAATGTTGTGAGTCGGTGTTGTAACTAAAATCACATGCCTATGTGTGTGTACTGTAGGTGCCATGGCCTCGTACCCCAACAGAGCGCCTGCTAACAGGCTTGTTTGAGTGCAGTGCAGCACAGTTCCTGGGCATTTTGGAAGCACTCTGGGACAGCAACACGCGGCCACTTCAAATGAGAATGCCTGAAGATCCGGAGCTACAAGAGGTCTACCTGGAACTCCTGTCTGCTGGAATTAGTTTGTTATCTGGTTAGTGAAACAAGTACACAATAAAAAACATTTTGTGATTTCAGTAAGGTGAGGGATTCTGAGTGGGTAATGTACATGTATGGCCGTGTCTGTCAAGGTGTCACTGGTGAGCAGAGGTATGATGACCACCCGTGCCTGTCTCCTCTTGTACTGACACAGAATTCGACTCTGATAGATTTAGCCATTTCAGGTGAGTCATTTTGGTCCTTTATTACAATGAGCATGTGTGTTTGTTTTGTGCATTGCTTTAAAAGTCAGTATGAGATAAGGAGATGTGTTGTGTTGCTAGGAGAAAACAAAATACCCGTCATGTCTGCAGTGAGGTTCATCAAACTGCTGTTTCAGTACAAGCAGCAGGATGCATTTACTGAACTCAGCACAGAGATGCTGCAGGTTTTGACTGTAAGTAGCACACAAGCAAAAATGCTTTAATTCATATTAATGAGAAAAGTGGAATACATCAGGTTTCACATGCATTTCAAGATTGATGATTCGGTTTGGGGCTTCCACTGTTTGAATGATCATCAGGGAAGTTTTTATTTAATTTGGCTTTCTCTAATCACAGAGTTTGGATGGCCAATCATTCAGGAGGGGAAAGCAGGAGCTTGCTTTGCTTCACAGTTTCAACATTTTGCTGTCTACCCAGAGGAGCCCTCCTAAAGAAGACATCACAAGCAAAGGTAGCAATATTAAATCTGCCACATACAGACTTATTAAATTTTTCAGGCTCCAAACTTTTATTTTGAAAAACAAACCTTATTAATAAAGGATTCATTAAAT